GGTGATGAAGTACAGGGCAAGTGCTGCCCAGATTTTCTATTTTACAAACCCTCCCTGTACAAAATTGATATTGGGGTGATTAAATATGTTATGAAACACTAAGACACATATCTACAACTCTAAAGAAGACCACACACTCTAGTGTGTCCTTTTTCATATTCAAATCTGAGTCATAACACGAGACAATGATGCTGTCCAGAATTTCTGTTTCAAACATTTTGGGTAATTTTCACCAATATCATGTTTAATTTGACATGTTAAATTACTGAACTTATACAGATATTTTATTATGTATTTAAGGTATATATATCCTTGTAAAATCTAAGGGGAAGTGTTTGAGGAAGTGGACGGATTTGGTTTGTCTAGGGCGTAGACGATTCGAACGTCCTGAAGTTGTGGTTGAACTATTTTGTGGTAAAACACCAAGGTTTGTGTATAAACTTTGTACTCTTTTTACTTGCTGGAATATTTTAAAATAACCTCATATTTTATTTTTATTGTCTTCAATTAATAGCATTGTATTCGTGTTATATCAAGTATCGCAAGATATTTGCTAAATCGCCCACTCGTATGGATTGTTTGATCATTTTGCATTCTTGTTGGGACTTTGTCCTTCTTGTGGAAGTGACTTTGTCACTCATCTTGGCATGCCTCTTAATTTGGATCTTTTTCCATTTTGACTTTGGATTTATAGTTCGTCTGAAATTATGAAACTTGTCTGTGTTAAGAATGAACTAGGAAGCCATTTTTAATATGGTTCTTGATTCTCTTGACTATTGGGTTTTGACCCTACTTGATTTGGGACTTCGGTCCATCTTGATATCTGATTATGCTTAGTGTAATGGCATGACGTACATGTTGGGCGAAAAGTGGATATTTTACAAGCTTTCTTGGATTGATAGTATACGATTTCTCAACTCTTGAATCTTGAACATTGTTATTGATATTTGGAAACACTTTAAGGGTTGATATTTGATACTTTTGATATATTTGTTTGCTTGTTTTAAATTATGTTTCATTCGAGTTACCTATGACTGAAAATAGGATTTGGAGAAGTTAATGGCTCCAAGCCCAAAGTTTAGACGCCACTAAACTTTATGCTTAGCGGTAGTTGTTTTTTTGTATCGTAGGTAATGTACGGGATGAAATTTGAAGACGGCCTTATGAAGTAGTTTTTTTTTGGGAGCACTTATGGAGATCACATTTGCATATGCACCATGGTTTTTGTATAGTTTGGGACTTGTACATGATATATATGTTACACTTATGTATGTTATTTGGAGGCTTGGATATTAAGACCAAAATCTTGTAACTTGAATTTGGTAACTTATTTTGCTGTTTTAAGGTGTGTTAATAACTCAAGTCTTGTAATATGTTAAATTTACACTTTGTCTTATATATATGTACAAAGGAGAAAATTAGTTTTCCTTTTTATTCCCGATAGTTTGAAATTTATGTACAATACAAACTTGCAGTGATGTCGAATGAAAGTATAATTTTGTTAGAAAGTTGCTTTAACGTGTTGATTATTAAAGAAGGGTTATATCACATTATGTTGAAATTTTGACATTGTATTTCATTTTAAAAAATAAAATAAAAATTATGAAGAGTATTTTCGAAAATAAAAATATTGCACTTTGGACTTCATCACATGGGCCTATTTTCGCTACTAAATTATTCTGAATATTTTATTTATTTATATTTTCTTAATATTGTAAGTAGTAAACTAGATTTGTTTCGTAAGTAGCACCCTCCCAAAGGGGTTTGCTACACGCCCAGACAAAGCTGGCATCAGTAGAGGTTCAACTTCGGGTGGTGAAGGAGCAAGCTGACAAGCGGTCCCAACTGAATGATGATATCCGAGCACAGTTGAGCTCGATTGTCGCAGAGCGGGACGCCCTCTGTAGAGAGTACGAAGTATTGAAGTCCAAGTTGGAGACAACCTATGCCGATGCCGATGAGATGATGGCCTAATACAAGGACGATGTCGAAGCAGCCGAGGCTCAATGTCGAATACATGAGGTGGTTGTCTCGTAGGGAGACTCTCGAAGAGATTCACGCCCGAGGCTTCGACCTGTCAGCCTATATCGAGGAAGCAATAGAGTTTGAAGGCGAGGCGAAGAGGCTTTCCGAGCCTGAAGGTGCCGAAGGCTCCGAGGGTTATGAGGAATCCGAAGGCTCCTACAGTTCTGGTGACAAGTCGGGCCCCGGTGAAGATCATGCGTGAATGCCTTAGAACCTTTTTAATTTTGTCTTGTGTATATATTTTGTTTGTTTTGAGGTCGTTCTTGGTTGGGCCTTTGTAAATACATTCCGGAATATATAAAATTTCCCTTTCTGGCAATTTCGAGTCTCTATTTGTTTTAGCATCTTTTCACAATTTTTATTCTTGCAAATATTTCTAATACCTTAGCATAAAATCAAATATAGTAATAAGTCGTTCGCTTTTCAAAGGTTCGAACAGAGCCTGACTTCGAAGCTCGGGTCTGAGCTTAGTGACTGTTCTGCCCTCAGTTCGAAGCCAACTAGTTATGAAGAACTACGAGCAAAAATAAGAACTTTTGAAATAACTTTTAGAAGTAGAGAAAACAAATGCATATTGCCTTGATATGCGTGTTACAGTGTGTTTCTGGAATAAAAATCACTCCCTTTATATATTAGTAGAGTTTCATTCCTAGTATAACTCTAAAAAGGGTAAAAATCTTCTTTTTCGTTGATCATTGATCTGTTGTTGATACGGGCCGAGATCCACGATGTGATATCCGGTTGGGCACGGATATCACAAACTTTTGTTCATCATGTGCAGACGTTTGCTAATGCTTTCCGAGGTCTTGGAGCTCGAACCGGATCCATGGGCGTGGTTGATGGATCCAGTGGCAGGTGCTTTGTTCGGACCTTTGTACGAGAGGTTTCTAGCTTCGATTCTGATTTCTTGTAGTTGTGTTCTTACTTTGTTTGCCCCACCGAAAAATCGGGGTACTCACTGGATCTGTTTTTACCCGGATACAGACATAAATGTGAAGAATAATAGAAACAAAAAGATATAAATGAAGAAAATAGTAACAACGAGTTGTGTTTGTATTTTGTGCTATTATAATTTGTTATCTATAAATTACGATTCTAAAGCATAAAATTTAAATTGAATGCTTTAAAATAAAACATACATCCGCTTCTCGTGTTTGATATCGTCCTACTATCGGTTAGTGTCGCAATGGTGTCATAAACGGAACCCCTTTCATAAAATCTTGAGTCTGTCACTAATGTTGAGTACTGAATATGTATTATATTTATAGAAATTTAATCCTCACACTCTTTCTTAAGAATCTCAGAATTTTTTCCAAGCTAATATATGATTGAAGGGGCACTAGTTTGGAAGAAAACAAAAGTTAAAACTAAAAGAGACAGCAAAGTGAGAAAAAAAAAGAAGCACAAGAAGTTTTAAAAGCATTGGACGGCGGCGGGGTATGACGAGTTGTTTACTTCTCCTTATTTTGAATTTCCACTTTTTTCTGGCAAATAATATTATACTTACCTTTTTAAATATTATGTAATAGTTCTTTAACATATTTATTGTCATTTTAAAAAATGTTGATATGACTAAATGTGCCGTTTTTATTAGTCTTTTGTTTAATTAACTTGGCAAAACATCTGTTTCGAAGAAATTCCTTACGGAAAAAAGAACGAAACAGAATTGTGATTCAGGGTGTGTTTGGTATAACGGAAAATATTTTTCAAGAAAATGTTTTCTTGGAAAACAAGTAGTAATCTTATTTATTTTTTGGTGTTTGGTTCGCAAATTAAAGAAAATAACTTCTCAAGAATACTCATAAATAATTTAAATACAATAAACATGAAGCCAAAACTTTAGAACCAACAACCTTACGAACCCACAAATTCCATAAACTTCTGAACTACTAAATTTTCAAACCCGTAAACTCTATAATTTCTAAATCCGCAAACTGCCAAACACGTAAACCTCCGAACTCATAAACTTTGGAACTCATAAAATTTCGAACATATAAACTGAAAAATGAAAAACTAGAACTGAAAATATATAAAACAAATATAATTTTTTCCGCGAAGGGGAGGGTGGGTGGTGCAGAAAATTAAAAATACAAAAAAAAAGTAAAAATAATAATATTTTTTCCCTAGGGGATGGGGGAGGGTGCTGTAGATTTTTTTTTTTTTTAAAGAAAATTAAAAATACAAAAATAAATTAATTTTTTTAGGAGGGTTAGTAGGGTGGGTGACGAAGGAAAAGTAAAAACAAAACTAAAATCTGAAAAAAAAAATATATTTTGGGGA